CCAGGGTGTGTTGTGGGCGGTTCGGTGCGGTACACCGGCGCCCTGTACCCAGGACCACAGGCGCGCCCAGGACAGTGTCGTCTGAATCCCATACAGAAGACAAGACATATGTCATATTACTCTAACCGGCATACTACACTTACCACGTGAACCATTTGCAAAGCTCTTTCTGATCCACACACTGATACACTTGCATAAAACATAACGACGAGCCATTCGTACACCACAGAAGCAGCCATTGCTCACTGTTATCTAATTTACCCAGAGTGCATGGTGTACAGCTGAACTGGGTCACTGAATAGCGACCTCTATAGACAAAGTGTCGTACTGTTTTTTGATTGCAGTTGTAGAATTCACCAAAACAAAAAAAACAAACAAAAAATCTAACAAATAGGATAAGTGTTTTATCGCTACATATTATATAACTATTTATGTTGAAATACAAGTCCAGTGTTCTCCACAAATAAAATTTGCATATTAATTTGCATATAATTAGCATAATTAATTAGCATATCTAATTTGCATATAATCAGCATATCAATCAAACATTTCAAGGAAAATTCTTAGCACTTTTATATTTACATCAACCTCAAATACTGTTTACAAGTACTATATTAATGTTCTTAAATTATTTTGATGAATAAATAAACCACTTGATGTAAAAAAAAAAATATAAACTTTGACAAATGAAGAATATCAATTTTATTCCCTGTAATAGAACACGTTGTGAAATTCTAGCCTTTCATTCATTTATTTTAAATTTCTTTCAAGTATTTTCATTTTCATAAGTTTTATAAATGCACTGACATATTGCAATAGTTGAAAACCCAAGTAATAAGAAGAAAAATATTTTCACACAACAAAATTACCGGTATCAGTTAAAAGAAAATGAAAAAATCGAATTCGATGACTGTAAATAAATGAATCAATTGAGGCGAGGAGATTGACTCGACTTGCGTACATTCACTTGTTTTATTTTAACAGTCATGTAATTCTTTACAAACATGGCGCTATATCTTAAACGACAATGGTCAGAAAAAGAACCAAAGCTTTAACAATACTTAAAACTACAAAAAATTATATAAATTTATATTGGGAATTGAGGTTGAAGCAAACTCGTGGATTTATTTCTAGTACTAGTGTTGTAGGCAGCTCCAAGGGAAACTATATTTCATTTGCTATTTTATTATATTCACACAGTTTCTCCGTGTGACCTCACAGATCTCACGAAAGTTAGCGTGAGGTAACAGAGGTTCCACGAATATCATTTAATTACCAGGATAGGATTAGCACTTCGCTGACATATGCTGTACATGAGTGTTTGGAAAAATCAAAACACCCTCTTTTAGAGAAAACATGATTTTATTTCTGAACTTTAAACAAAAATATGCTGTTTTTTTTCGTTGTGTTCGAACACCTCTGTGGATTTGATATGTTTTGTCTTCCACTACCGAAATAATTTCTTGTTTTGAAAACTACGAAATATTACACTTTCACTGCAAAATTCAGAAAACAATTTCGGGAATGATTTTTCATTTATAACTCCAGAAGCTTTGGACCGAATCTCTGTAAAATTCCAGCAGGTGTTTCAATCAGGAACTAGTACACATCGAATATACTGTTGCCGGAGATGTGATTCTTGTTGCCAGGAAAACAACATCGGGAATGATTGAATATTTATAACTAATAAAAAGTTATAAATTGATTCACATGTTATGCGATAAAGACTTTCCGTTTTCGACATTGTGAAATTCTTTCGTTTTTATGCAGAAAATTACAGTATTTTTACCAAGTAAAATCATACATGAGTTGTTGAACACACTACATACTAGTAGATTCCTTCTTTCAGTCATAATTCAAGACAAATAAAAGAGAAAAATATAGAGAATATAGCAAATATTTCAGTAATAGCTTGTGTAATCGGTAATTATGAAAATTCTTTATGGGTGCATGAAGAATATATTTTGTTATTAAGTATTCTTAATATAAATTTCTGATCTATCTTGTCAAAATATTTTTTTTCTGTTTTTTTTTTCTCCCCCAAAACGAAAGAATTTTACATTGTTGAAAACGAAGTCTTTATCGTAGTGTTATATTGCTTAAAGTGGTCGTCGCAGCGCCATCACATGTTACATGTCCTCTGTATATGGTTGACATATCAACGGATAGAAACAAATGAAATTCAACACAGAGTTGAAGAGATGAATTATTTTCTTTGTATTTATTGTTGCGTACGGGGAAATAGAACAATACAACTTTGTCGCATTGCTATGACGTGTTATAGAAGCACTCCGCCCTCTAGCAATATACATAGTGCATTGCGGTTTCTCACATAAGCACGTGGAAATCACCCCAGTGTTTGAAACACCAGTCAGTGAGTTAAATCTTGAAGAGGTTTATTGACATGGTGTAAAGTAAAGATTCTTTCTATGTCTCGGTCACGAACGACTCATCATTCTCTTTCTTCAATACTTATGACAAATGTAAATATACGCGATGTATAGAACTGTGTTTTTTTTGGGGGGGGGGGCTAAACACATACGTCTTGTTTACCATAAATGATAAGCTGTCTGAAAAACTCACTTTCGCTTCAAACCAAATAATGGTTTCAGGACAAGGTGTCGCGGGTTGTGGTGCAAACGTACGTATAAACAGCCTGTGAATTTCAAAAGAAAAACAACTAGTGAGTAATGCATTTATACTGTGACTTTGTTTGGGGGCATATTTTGTAGTACACGAAGCTTGCTCCGTTCATTCCGTGGCACTTTTTTGTCACGTGACATTCAGCATTGGTGGTTTGTTGTTGATTCTGCTCTAATAGTGACTGACAGTGATAGACGAATGATCCCTATATAGCCATTGACGCCAAAGAAGTTGACAAGACCCTAAAAAGTCATATAATCAAGTTGTCGCATTCTGAATCGATTCGTCTTCTAGATTATTCGTTTTCCACATCAAATGCAGGACATACACATGGTATTAGCAAGAACTCTCATTACAGCTCCCTGGTATTAGGTAGTTCATTGCTTTTGCGCAGCTTTCGACATGGTATTAAATGACACCGTCGCATATGTGGCAATATAATCACAGTCAAAAGATTTACAGAATATGGATGTGGAACGCCTACAGTATGAAAAGCTTGAAGTTATTGGTGAGTACAATAAGAAAACGAACGGCAAAACTAACTTAATATAGAAAATACACTGTGTATTGCAGTACAACATCTGTTTTCATTCGATTATTGGGAAATGCCTTAGTTGAATAAACCACATATGTTTTTCAATGCGATCGATTATTTGAATATCGTTAAATGATTGATCGTCATCAATATTACCTAAATATTGTTATTTGATTTGATACTTCAAAATTTGATATTGTTACGGACCTTAGCGACTATGTTTGATAACCATAACAGAGAATTTTATGACAAACATTGTCCTTCCGCCACTGTAATACTCTTTAGAAAATGGCATGTTATGCACTTACATTGTGTTGCAGGCCGGTAATCTTAATGAGGGTGGAAACATGACAGGTACACAGATTAGTTCTACAATGTTTCGATCAAAGTTTATATACTTTTGGTAAATTATTGCTGTCATATATTTATCTTGAGCTAGTCCACTTCGTCACTGTAAATCCGCGTTTGTTGAATGCTATTTGGAGCCGTTATTTTAGTTGCGCTTACTGTGGGGTAGTGAGGTACACGTCTGCTTACTATACAAGGTGCTTAGCCGTGGCCGTGGACTTGAATTACGAGGTAGTTAATTTTGCAAATTATTTTACCTTTATATACACTCTTTTCCACAGATCTAGAACACGATGATTGGAATCTTCAGGAAAATACAGATATACTCGTGAAAAAGGAGTCACCAGAAGATGAAGAGCTACCTGAGTGTTATCACATATATATAAATACTTGTTATAAACTTGGTGTGGTTCCGTGTACACAGTTTATGAACAGCATGAAAAACAAGGCTGAATCAGTATGCCTCCAACATTATGGACTGGGACCACTGGGAGCTAAAGCGATTGCTGCAACGATGGTGGTAAGTTTCTCGTCGGTCGTTATACTGTATACTGTCGACTCGGTAATCATGACTCACTCACTCGAGTTTCTGCATACATATACATTGAAATATATGATTAAATGGCTTTTGGGTGTAAATTTACCACGCTTGAAAACAAGTCGTGAGTTGTATTTCGTACGATGTGTTGTTTTGTTAGAAGTTCACGAATTCATAGAAAGCATGCGACCAAGTTGTTACCAAAAAGATGACTACTAGTATTCAACTAACAGATTAATTACCTGAACAATGAAGAATTTGGCTGTGTTGCTAACATGATGGTTTCGTACGAATGTACAGGGCCACTTCAAATAAAATTATATTAATCGACCTTCGATATGATTGAAATTCAAAATAATTCACCGAAATTAAAATACCATCACAAAACAGCTCGATATCCACGAACTTAATTTTGACATTAACACTACAATATACGAAACTAACAGTATTCTGGTCTTCCATTATTTCATCGTATTTTTATATCTACATCTTAATTCATTCATCAAATAGTTATTGTCAAGGACAACATCTCTCGTCGGTAATGTTTTCTGACTTAGTACTCTGTTAGAGTTCAACAAAGTGTCATCAATTGCATCGGCCACTATAATATATTTACACACCCACTATGTAAACATTACTTTCATGGCCTTGCCATTTAACCATGAGATCACTCAAACGTTTGACTCGAGTTAACACAACAATCCATTCACTTGGAGTGCTATAGTCAACATTACTATATAAATATAGCCATCAAATATTGATAGTTCATTATAGAAACGTTTGGTAAGTCAATATCCCTATTTGACGAAAGGCGTGATGTTAGTAGTGAATTGTGTGCGCAGTTCATGGCTATACTGTGTTAGCAACGAATTTGGAGTATACCCAATGAGTTTGCGCAGAATATTCTAGGTTGTCCTTAGCAACACATGAACTGAAAATATAACAATTTGACAACTGGAAAATAGATTCAATCAATTTTATGCGTGTAGTACAACAAGCAATTTGAAAATACAAAACGTGCAAGCCGGAACGTCTAAACTTATGTTACAGTCAGTGTCAGATTTAATACCGTCCGAGGGCCAAATCAGATTCTGGACCATCAATACACACACTCCGTATTCATATTCCAAAAAGAAGATTCGGTGATAGGTACATATCGGACCCATTATGGAAAAATAGTTGAATGGGAAGTAAATGGGAAAAAACAAGCAAATGTTATAAAATTTAGGAGTCGTGAAACGCCGTACGATTCGCAGTGAAATGGTAAATGGAAGTCGTATCTGCCCGCACTGGTTCACTCTTACAATGACACCTGATATGACTGAATTAAATGTGTGCTATCATTGTACCATAGACATACTAACTGCGCATGCCCAGCGCAATATTATGTACATTATTTTCATTTCTTCAGATTTTAATAAATTATTAATTTCGTTTTTATTCAAGAGAAATGTATTTACATCGGTGTTGAACTTGAAGGACAATGACATCGGAGCTGAAGGATCAATGTATATAATAGAAATGTTGACGGAAAATGTTGGTGTAAAAATTCTGGTGAGTTGAAATCATTGTACATGCAAATATAAAACATTCACTACAGTGTGTATTAATCTCTATTATTGACTATTACAATTATTATTATTAATTTGTTTTGTGCATATTTAATACTTGGGTGATGTAGGGTAATAGTTAGATATAAACCACATTCCGAAATCCTTCAAGCATGGTACGTCAGAATTTAGTCTCCTGAACCTAGCAATAAATTGTTGCTTGTTATTTGATTCGAGGGAACAGTGGCAGATTCAGAGGGGTACGAGTGTCCCGAAATGCGTTGTTATTCATAAACGTATATCCCATAATCCAACGTACCAATGACGTCATTTTAAAATTGCACCACCTCCAACTGAAAATCATGTATCCGTCGTTGAAATGAAGTAATTTACTGTTATCACTGGTTAGGTAAACTATCAAATTAATTTCTATGAAATGTACCACAATAGACGAAATCTCATCGAAAGCGAGAGAGTCACGTGACTTTATTCAAATAATTGTTCTATTTTCCCTTATCATGCTGTCTACTGTTTCAAATATAATTGGTAGATGCCATCGATGGAGAAAATGGTAGATGTTTGAGGGGTAAAAAAAGTCTCGCGTCTCTCTCGCTCCAAGCGAGATCTCGACGGCTATTTGCGTGTAAGGTGTATTGACTGATAAGCA